GCATCAGATGGATAGAGAGGATGAATGAATGAATAAATCAGGAAACAATGAGATTTCCATAGAAGAAGAGGAGGAGGGCATGACTGTCTGATATATAATACATGTAGCTAGTCATTTATTTATTACCATAGAATGAGAGCCTCCTCTTCTTGGATTAAATTGCAATTTGTTGTCAGGAAGCATGTAATGAATACATATCAGATGCACAACCTCTCCCTCCTTTTATTCTATCACAATTTTCCTACCTCACCATCTTTGATTTATTTATTTATTTGTCTTTTTGACAATACCCCTCCATCCCCCTGGCTCATTCTGCCTTTGTTTTTCTGATGGTCTGTCATACTGATTTGACATATTCTGCTACGGTGCATAATGCCTCCCTCTAAATGTACGTGTGTATGCCCATGTGGATATTCATACTTTTTGGTCTGTAAGAGGGCTATGTGTGTCTGCTGTTCTCTTATAGACAATTAAAAACCAAGACTTTGCCACTAAATACTTCCTTGAACTATGTTTTATGCCACATACAACTCAGTGAATTGAATGTTGTCAAGAAAGAATAGACCAGTTTCTACACTTGTTATTTCTTATATTTGTTGCTCTCTTACCTTATTATAGACCTTTGTGGGGACATCCTCATTTGCAAGCTGTAGTGGAGTGGGCCTGGTGCATTTGCATGGGCCGGGGCAGACCAGGACACATTTAGACTTTTATTTGATGCACTGGCCAAAGTTGGAGGTGACAACCCATCTGGGGCTATAACGAGAAGAATAACGGTGAGAGGGAGAAAAGGTGGAGAATACAGGAAAAAGACATTGATAACAGGAGAAATATAGAAATACAAGACCACAACATAAGACTTATAGAAAGACTAATTATGTTTAATATACTTATTTTTAAAATCTTACGAACAAGCTCTAAAACCTCAATCTAGGCAGTGCTTCACTTGGAGTAAAAAAAAAACAGAATTGATCAAAACTCAAGATTGATAAGGAAAAAAAAACAGAAAAGGGGTAAAAAGAAAAAAATTCTAATGGGTCCTGAGAGTGCCGTAAGACCCACCATAATGTAATCATTGTCTCCATCTAATCTCAGTATGTCAATAGTCTTCCAGTTGAACATCTTTATGCTGTGTTAGTGTTGTCAAATCAGTAAAAACATCTTGATTCAGTCTGTGATAGCTGACATCAATAACGATGAGAATATGACAGAGATAATGGCAACAAACACAAGGAGAAAATCAGCGAAGACTCATTGTTGACTGTGTGAAATGAGAGCAAGCCTTCTGATGTATAAAGTGACCCTTCAATCAAACAGGGCTCTCCTTTCAATTCAGAGACTGATTGTTGCAGCCCTATTTTCACAAAGATCACTTAAAAATACAAGTTGCATCAAAGCAGACACAGAATGTCACAAAGAAATATAGTTTTTGTATTTTAGGGTTACCTAGATCCCTATTTTCTTTGTCTTTTTAACAGAATTTTTTTAGCTAAAGAGAAATTTGATGTATCATTTAGGTTTTAATTTACACAATCTCGTGATTCCAAATTTTGCATTTGACTTTTCAAACATGAACAAGTTGTAGATTGATCCGTTCGTCACCCAAGTGTGTTTGCATTTAATTAATGACAAGATTATTCCTGTTCCCCCTCAGAGACGCACACATATATCCACATTTAAGACACATAAATCACAAAGACACACACTTTGTTGGTGAGCCTGTGTCTCTCTCGTGCTGTGTTAGCAGGTACAATATCAGAGGTGTCACTAATCGTTTTAAACTATGCACTTTTATGTTCACTTCTCCCTCTCTGCTCTCCTCCTCCACTGCTCTTCTGTCTCTTGCTCTGCAATCTTCTCTCTGTTCTTTCATAGAACAAGGACACATCAAGACAGTTTGCCTTAAAGAAGTCTAAAGAGATGCCAGAGGCACAGAGGTAGAAAGAGAGATGGAAAGAGAGGAAACGTCTTGTATTTAAAATTTATACTTTCTTATGCCTTTGTTTTGAACTTGAACAGCAGAACTTTCCCAAGTCGATCTTTTGTTTTTTTTGTGACTAAGAAACAGGTGTGAATAGCTGTGTGTATTCAATACTTGTAGTAACATTAGTGAAAGTGGCTAAATGTAAGCTCCAGGCTGCTCTGCTCTTGATTCTGCACCCTGGCAAACACTCATCCTCTCACTAATGCACTTACAATATTTGTGCAAAACAGAAATTTGTTTTCCAGTTATTAAGTTGATAATAAAACTGTAGTTTTGGTTGGTTTCCACTGTTGTTTTCTGCACAGAAAGTGTAAAAAAAGGAAAAAATTCAGCTGAATTGCTTAGCACCTGAAGTCACAGACAGATATGATGTGTGTTGAGTTAGACACAAACCTGCAAGCATTGTCGTTTGCCAATAAATCAGTCAGTAATTAAATACCTTAATATATTAACCAGAGAAGTTTTTTCTACAATCAGTGTCAAACTGAGAAAAAAAGATAAATAAATAAAGAATCTGGAAACTGACCAGGCAAAACATACTACATATACAAGCATACTATATGTCTTAGAAATGAAACACTTCAGTAAAACAAATGATCTTAGGATCCCCACTGGTTTTTCTCATTCTGACAAGACCTCTTTAATCTCAAAGAACACAACAAACTGGATGACTATCAGTTCAAGTTAGAAAGACAACTGACAATGTGCTGTGCACATCACCATCAGGATCTGAAACCCAAACATCTACCTCCAAATATGATGTGACTTCTGAAGATAAAGTCATACCAAAGTGGAATGAGCTCTGGTGTCAAAGTTCACTTCTAAAAAAAACTGGCTGTATTACTGCTGCAGTGCTGTTTTTTACTCTGGTCAGTTAGTCAGTAAAGAACCCTGTCTTAGGACCACTGTGTCAGAATGTTACTTAAGTAGATTAGTGGTCTAATGGGCAACAGACAAAGTCTGATTCTCTTTTTGTTGTTTCAATATATATTTCTGTGGTGGCTTTGACTATTTACAAAAAGAAAATGGACTTTGGATGATCTTACTGCTTAAATGTCCAGGGCTGAGCATCTGAGCTCAACTGAGCAACAGCCTAAAGCTTTAGAGAGATTCAATTCATACAGATTGAACAAAAGAGACATTTTTCCAAAGATACTGAGTTGTATTGCTTGTCAACAAGAATAGGGATGGTGCTTTTGAACTTCCTTATTTGTATGGAAGTTGCATGCAGAGATTCTAAATATTGAAATTCAGAAGACGCAGACTGCTGGTAAAAAGAAACTGAACTTCAACCGTAGAAGTGTCTGTGCTCCAAGTGAGTGTACCTGCTGGGGGTGTAGTGACAATGATTGGCAGGCTTTCAACACAACCCTGTGTGTTACACCCTCTGATCCAGACGCTGTAGTTTGTGTAAGGCTGCAGGTCAGCCACAGATAACCAGATGCCTGCCGCTGTTCCTCCCTCCAACACACCATCACTGTCTAAAAGACAGAGAAACAGTGACATGTAGGTCTAGTGGAGAGAAATCTGGGTTATTTTTGTATTTCATGTATGTATGCTCATATACTAAACACAGATAAATAAATTGATATGAGGTACTTGCTAAAAGAACTGGAAAGGGGGAGCGTTTATAAAGCAGGGTGAACTAACTGGATGATCAAATGGGATTTCTCCATATTGAAGTTATGCAAGGACAGTCAAAGAAGAAAGTCCACACAATAACTCATTTGCAAGCTTTTCCAATATAACTAGATGGACAGACACTCATGCAGCAACAAATCAGTTTTGTGTGAACTGATGAAGGCAATTTGCATCTTAGAAACAGAGGGGGTTATGGGCAACCAGAGTGGAAGACCAGCTCCCTCTTTCTTTAACACTCTCCTATCCATCTCGGCACTCATTTTCATCTGTCGGTTTCTCTGATGGGCAGATCAAAGTCAACGGGTCTGTGTGTGTGGAAGACAGACAGAGAGCCGTTGAATAAACCCAATGTAAAGAATGAGAGCATGAGTGTGTATGTGGCTCTGGTCCTTCATCCTGTGTTGTTCCCATGTCCTCAGTTTTGTTGTTTACTCTATCACATACTGTTGTCCCTATACATGTATGGATATGTAAGCTTTCCATCTTCCTTTTTCTTCGACACTGTTGTTTTATTGCTCCTGGTCTTTGTTCTTCCTTCCATCCATTGTTTCGCTCTATACTCCAAGATCGTCTCCGTGCTAAATCACTGGCAATATATTTAAAAAAAAGTGCCCTCTCTACACTAGTCTGGTTTGATTACTCCTTCTGTCATTTTCCCATTTCATGCCTGACTTTCAGTAGTAGTTGGCTTTGTTGGTTGGAAGTGCGATTGTGTGTTGTGTGCGTCTGCACTTGTGAGTCTCCATCCATATTGCACCGCTCGACTCATCTTTGTAAAGCCTTTTATCAAAAAACCCACTTGGCAGTTTTGAAATTGGTAATATTATTATTGTGGTCTCGGGAAATCAGCAGTAAGTACTGTATATCAACATGTCTGCACATGAAGTGTATTTGTCAGTTGCTGTTCTCAGGAGAATCAGGTCAGGACATAGATACTGTGAAACAGCATCACGTGTAATGCCTTTATTTGGCAAGCCTTTTTAAGTTGGCAGTGTCTCAAAAAGTGGCCAAGACAGAAAAAAATAAAGAAAAATGTATTTATCTATTCAGTCATATGTATTCAATTTTCTAAATGTTTGGTTGAGTTTGTGAGCATCTTGGATTTAGTTGTGGTTAAAGGGACAAAACTGGGGTCAGATGTTTTAAACCAATGGCATGGTGGGGTCCAAATTTTTGTTAAAGAACACGTATTTATGTGCAAATCTTATCTTCAACACAAATATTTGTATAAGTCTCTTAAGGCATGACTTGATAGCATCACTATCTAATATGTACAGCATACATAGAATGCAAATATCTTTTTCTTAAGAAGTATGTATGTATCTTTGTATGCAACACACTGTGATTTAAAGAGTTATGTAAAGTGATAGGGAAGTTAATGAATATGGACCTTTTGTGTTTTAAGGTAATGTTTCTGCTTTTCTGAAGGGGCCACAAACTTTCCAGCCCCTCTGATTTTCTGTGTGCGACTATAAGACAGACTGTGTGTTTCACCTTTGCTTTTGTAGTAAACTCTGTAGCTGAGGTTTCCATTTGGTCTTGGAGGTGCTGTCCAGCGGGCTCTAACTGACCTGGAGCTCTGATTGGTTAGCTCCAGCAGGATGGGGCCTTCTGGGGCCATCTCTAATGTACGCATCTCCACCTGGTTTGATGAAAAAAAACACTCCCATAAGATGCCACAATCACACCGTAGACAATTATGACAATTCCTCTTTCATTGTGAAATGATAGCATGATTTATGCCCTACAATAATCAAAACCATGTTATTTAATGGGGCTGATCATTTACTATGTAAACACATACAGTGCTTATGCATTATGAAACTGCCTGACCAATGAGTCCTGCTTTATGTCTTCCTTTAGTTTCTTATGAGTTTCCTCTGCCAGTTTCTTTCAATTTGAACTCACTGTACTCCTCTTCTGTCATCTTAATGTGACCCTTTATCTGCTGTCCCTTGTAACCTGAACTCTTGCAAAGCCTTTTCCCTGAACACAGTTCTCATCATTTAAATTTTACACCCCTAAATTCTTCCACCCTCATCATCCTGTCATTGCTTCCTCTTCTCCATTTCACCTGTCCTCCACTGCCTCTCCTCTTTTTCAGCAGTGTCAGCTGTTTCCTCTGGTGTTTGACTAAAAATGGCATCTCTATTGGAAATATGTCCCAAAATATGGCCTGTCTTCACAGTTGTTGTTGAGCATGGAGTGCCATTTTTTACAAAAATCCTCATTGCTGCTACATCACTACGTTAATGAGCCAGACAGTTGATCACCTTAATGTGGCTTGGTGACACGTGCACACCAAGAACACGTGTCTGCAAACACATTATAC